AAATTTTACACGGATTATTTTTAAAAATTCATAATAATAACTTGATAAAAACATTTTTTGTTATGTAAATACTTGCTTTCTAATTAATAATAATCTAAAAAATGAGGTAATAGAAAAAATCTAATTTCAGACTTGAAATAAAATTGAAAAAATTGGTTTAGTAGAGTATATGATCATTAAAAAATATTTCATTTTAGTGATATGATTTTACTGTGTAATTCAATATAAAAACAAAATTTATACTCCTAATATACTGGAGATATTTAATTAAACAAATTTTTTTTGAAGTAGTCATTTTTTACAATAGTGTGATTTTGTTAGAAGTTAATTTTTTTTTCAATATTTGGTGATAAGTTCAATATGATTAAAATCTTATTCTTTTGAAGTATTGGTCATTAAAATTAGTCAAGCGAGAGCCGAAAAAAATGAATGACAAACACAAAAACTATATAGTGAAAAATTTTAATTTAACGTATATTTAAAGGACGCAGTATTTCCGGGATAATTTCAAAAGTTATGAATCTTACAAGTTCAAAATTTGTGTTTAATTTTAAAAAATTGGTGGATTATTCCAAAAGCTACATGATCTGCTATTTCATTATTAATATCCTGATTAAGATAAAGTATGTTGAATGAAAAAGGGATATAAATATTATTTCTAATAAAAATATTGTGTTGATCCATACACTTTTCAATAAGTTATAGCATTATAAAGTTAAAAATGTAAAAATAAAATCGAGAATTTTCACACAAAAATAGTATTTGGTAGCCATTTTCACAGTGAAGACAAAATAAAGTCCGAAATTATTTTTTCATAATAAAGTACATTACATTATCTTTAATTTAATATATATTAAAGTGTCAGACCTTCCGGAACACTTTCCAAAGTTAAGTTGAAAAAGTTAATTTTTTAAATCCCCCCCTGTGGGCAGATAAAGGGTCAGATTCATAAAAAAAAATTTACCTAATAATAGGTAAAGATATCAAGCATCTATTAAAAATAAATTACATCAATTTGTTCATTTTTAAGAAAGTTATGGCAATTTGAAGTAAAAAAAAATTCGAAAATTAGCAATTTTAAAATTTGTAATTTTTTCGGAGGTTTCCCCATTTATGGAGAACGAGGAAATTTTTTGCTGTTTTTGAGGGTAATGTCTTCGACTAGATATTATTTGTGATCTTTTGACGTATCGTTATAAGAAATCGGTTCGGTGAGAGCTGAGAAAAAGTCGTAACAGATACAAAAAAAAAAAAATAAATAAATAAACACATCTTAGTAAAACCAATACCTTCTCAGCTTCGCATCGAAGCTAAAAGTGAAAATATTTTCAAAATTTACAGATTTTGAAATTTGTTGAAATCGTAATTTATTGGGTATTTGCGTCATTTACAGGGAATGACGAAAATTTTTTTTAATTTTCAAGGGCAATGTCCTTATTTAGATACGATTTGTGATCTTTTGACGTATCATTGAAAGAAATCGGTATAGTGAGAGCTGATAAAAAGTGGCACAGCACAAAAAAAGAAACACATCATAGTAAAATTAATATCTTCTCAGCTTCGCATTAAAGCTAAAAAATTTTTTATTGTTTTCAATTATTTTTTTATGTATAAATACTCATTTTTTAATAATTAGTAACAATATTAAAACTTAGAAGTGATAAAAAAAGTTAAATTCCTATGATAGTTCTCTGTAGACCAATGTATTTACTCTATATAAATACGAATTAGATTTAATATAATAAAAGTATTTTAGAATTTTTTAAACACTTAGAAACTAACACTAAGTTACTTAGAAATGAATACTATGATTTTTATTTAAGTGATCTATTACGATAAAAATACAAAAAAAAATCGAGCTTTTCTGATAAATTTACCGTAAATAGTAATTATAAAATTTCCTGATTGCATATTAATCGTAACAATACCATTTTTTACTATTTAATAATTTCAATTTCAAACTTTCAAGTTGAGCTAAAAGTTATGGCAATAAAGTAATTTTTTTTTTATTATTAACTTCCACAAAAAAAAGTAGGTTAAAAATAATTACTTTTATTATATTAAAAATCAAAATCAATAATAAGTTAAAAACAATTAATTATAAAAATTATATAATATATAATTAGAAAAATATATATATTATATTTTTGAATCTAAGAATTTCTAACTTTGATATAATTAAGGAAATAAGAGATCATGTAGCTTTTGGAATAATACACCAAATTTTTAAAATTAAACACTATCTACAGATTTGCATTGCTTTTTTTTTATAGTGATTTTAATCACTGTCAGATATCATTATACTTTATTTAACTATGGCACGTCACCAATGTGCCGCGACCCCCCCTGTGCTGGGTTTTTTTTTTATTAGATATGCTCCAAATAGTAAATAAATGTAATAACTCGATACCGAAGTAGTGTAAAAAAATGCGTACAAAACCGAGAATTGTGTAATTGCTAGGTAACTAAATTTTTATTATTAATGAAATAAAAGGGCAAAATATTTATTTTCTAATATTCCCTTACATATTAGGTAAATCCAAAATAGAGGCGTAGGGTAAAAAGGTTAACCTCTACATTCAGAATTCGCTCTCCTGAAAATGTAGACAAATCATATAGATTTTGTAAAATATAAATGTTTTAAAGATGCAGAAAATGAAAAATTTTGTCCATCTTTTATATGCTTGCAAAAAAAAATTTACCAAAATCTTTTAAGTATTGATTGAAATAATAGCTAGATAGTAATTAAAATATAATTATTGATCATCATTAAAATTTATAGGATTAAAAAAAACATTTTTATTATTTCATTAAGATAAATAAATGTTTATGAAATATAACAATATACCTCGGTGGGTACAAATTAACAAAATTATTAAACATTTTTACATTGTGGTGTACAAATAAGATTTACGGATTAAGCAGAATTTCACCAAATTTTGAATTAAGTTCGTACAGGAATTTGTGACTCAGATGATTTAACATTAGTATATTCGGCTATATCTTTAAAATGATTTATCAATACTTGCATTTGTTTAAAAGTTTTCTCGAGGTATTATGGGTGAAGTGAAATATCTGAATTAAGACTATTGAAGTATTATATATTGTTCAAAATAATACTTTTTACAATTTTTTTTTTCTGTTAAAAAAAAAAAAAAAAATATAATGATATGCTAATAATACAGAGTATTACATAGAACCAAAGGACCAACTTTAAGCAAACACGAAAAATGCATATACTAGTTAATACTAGTATATCTGTATCACAGTTTCACTGCTCATCTGTATAATTGTAGATGATCGAATTATCATAAACCATTTTATTACTCGCAAAATGAATATAATATTGAAAACAAATATTGGTGATTTTTTAGTTACATATTATTATTAATTGAAAAACTATTAATCACTTTTTAGAATTGTTTTAAACAAAAATTATACTTTTTTGGTTAGAGAAAAATAATAAAAAATATATTTTTAACATAGTATATATCTTTAAAAATTATTTAAAAAAAATTAATGCAAAATATTCGATGGATCAAAAGTTTTAAAATATTTCAAAACACTATATATAAATAAATGTATTCATTGATAACTATTTTTATTTTTGGCTGGTGAAATTCTTTTATTTTTAGTCATCCGGTCTTTCTTTAATGTTATTTGCCAATATTTGTTTTAGATTAATGAATTATTCTAGTTACTATAAAATAAGTATTTTTATATACACTATTGTGTTTAATTATATTTATTTTCGATTATCTACCAGGATTATTGACTTGAAGAATCATTTCTAGATTAGGCATATGTTTAATTCTACAGTATATAATAATAAGAAATGTAAACTGTTTTCGCGGTATTATTCTATTATCATATTTTGTGGTTTCTATTTTTAATATATCATAGATTTATGAATGTAAACATAACATGGCGGTGCACCTAAATTATAAACATTATACGTTTAGATAACACTTTAACTGAATTAACTCAACTTCGTGTATCATTATTGTTGTGAACTATACTTTATAACTGATTTACATCAAATTTAAAATGAATAGTTATTCAAGAAAGTCTTTTTTGTTGAGTAAGTTTATAATCTTATTTCACCTACGAAATAAGACAAACTTTGAGCTTAATTTTTTCATATTTAAATTATATTTATGTACATCCAATATTCTGACTTTCTGAATTAAATCATTTATTTGTAATATTATAGTAAAAATATAATTTCTTTCTTCGTTTTTTTTTTTTGTTGTATATTACTGTTACAATTATTTCTTATATTGTTTTCAGTTTAATATTATTTATGTATTGTATCACGTGGTTGCGTCTTTTTCAATCAAATGTTTTTTCAATTTTTATCCTTCAATGCTTAATTATTTAACTATCATTAGGTTTTTAAATATAAAAAGAAATGTTTCAATATATTCTTAAAAAAATGGCATAATGGTTCAATAATAATCATTTACACAAATTTTACCAAGATTTTAGAATAAATAAAATGAGTTAGAGAAAAGATAACTTATATAAAATATTATTGGCTTCTAGTTTGTAGCCTAAATGTGGTTTTTAACATAGTTTTTTTATTTTAACATTTTGTAAGAAAACAAATTATACTCTCAGAGTATATATTGAATTATTGTAATTCAATAGTTTTATAACAATATATTAATTATAATAGATATTTAGAAAAAAATGAATAAATAAAATTATTACTAAGTCAGTATAATTTATAATTTTCTAGGTTAATTTGAAATACATTAGAACTAAACAATTGCAATATTAAGTTTTCAAATTAACAGCTTTTAGTTTAAAATTATACAGAATGAAAGAAATATTGTTTAATAAGAAATATAATGAACTTTTTTAGAGTTAATATTTTTTATTAATTGTTTTACATTTAAATAAATAAATTTTATTTTAAATAATACAAACAAATTATTTAGGAAATAATGTTATACTTTAATAATTTCAAATATTTATAGAATGTTTTAATTTATTAGGCAATGAAGCTCCAATTTTACAAAAACTTGGTATTGAATCATTAAGTGGAAAGTATTCAGCTTCTATAAGAAATCAAGGCAAGCGGTCTAAAAGACACCAATATGGCAGACATCGTGATGAAAATAGAAGAAGTCATCGTTATCGCCGTCACTCTCCTTCTAAATCCAGGTTATTATCTGTTTAATTTTTAGTTAATAGTATTAAGGTAATACTAAATTCAATGATAAATATTTAGCGCAAAAGTAAACGACAGAAAACAAAATCCCTGGGCGACAGCATTGCTGAAATATTTCTATATAAACTTAGTGAAGGAAGCACTGAGTACTTTTTGTACCTATTTGATATTAACATTATCGTAATAATTGAGGTATATCAATTACCTGTTATATTTTCAGCTTTAAACTGAAGTCGCATGACATTTTATTTCCTAGGTCTAGATCAAACGAGAGGCCCAAAATAAAGGCATTAGAAGTTCGGAGCTGGAAAGATTTTGTTAGCAGTGGATATCATTTTGAAAAATTCCGAAAATACAAGCTTAATGAATTAGAAGAATTAAAAGATAAAGAAAGAAAAGGAAAATCTAAAAGAAGATATTCAGATATACAATCGGATGATCATAGTCGAAATCAGGAATTTATGTGAGTAATATATTAATACTTTGAAAATTATTTATCTTTTTCGAAGTCATTGACTGTAAGAGTTATTTTTTTTGTTAAATACATATTAGAGTTTGAGCTCTAATGAATAAATCATCATCGTAATCATTATAGATGATAATAAATTTAGTGTAATACATTATTATATTTAGTGTAATACATTAATTATTGAATCAAATTGATTCACTAATTAATTAATTAACTATAATATACAGGGTGATCCATTTAACATTGACCAGCAAATATCTCAAAAACTATTTATTATTTTAATAATTTTTTTTTTAGTTTATTTTTTTAGTTTTTTTAGTTTATTTTTTTTAGTTTTATGTAACTAAAATAATTAAAAAAAAAAATTATTAAAATAATAAATAGTTTTTGAGATATTTGCTGGTCAATGTTAAATGGATCACCCTCTGTAGACATTCTATAATCATCTAAAGAAATTTCAATATTGTGCATAGTGGGAGGTCTTTACTTTATATAAATTTAGATAAGCCTAGTGTGCTCTATTCCTAGGCTTATAAGGATAACATTATATCTTTTGGTAATTTAGTTATCTTTTAGCTTCGATGCAAAGCTGAGAAAGTATTGGTTTTACTAAAATGCGTTTTTTATTTTTATTTTTTTTTGTCTGTTACCACTTTTCTCAGCTCTCACTGGACCGATGTCTTTTAACGATACGTCAAAAGATCACAAATTGTATCTAGTCGAAGATATTACCCTCAAAAATTGAAAAAATTTCACTCGTTCCCCACAAATGGAGGAAACCTCCAAAAAAATTACAAATTTAAAAATTGATAATTTTCGAAATTTTTTCAATTTTTTTTACTAAAAACTGCCATAACTTTTTTTAAGAATGACCAAATCAATATAATTTTTTTTTTATAGATACTTTGATGTCTTTACCTATCATTTGGTATATTTTTTTTATGAATCTGACCCTTTACCTGCCTACAGGAGGAAATTTATAATGACAACTTTTTCAATATTTTGAGACGTAGAGAGTTATCTTTCTTCCTGACTAAAACTATTTAACTAGCGTAGTCAGAACAGCTAGGTCTAATAATGTCTTCTTGAAACCATTCCTCTATTTGTTTGTCAACTAGACATGTTTTTGCTGAAGATAGGCGCTATGGTCTTTGATATATAGGTTTTTCATCCATTAATAAAATAACTGTTTCAATTGGTGCATGTTTTACTTTTTTTGGTTCATAATCTTGCACTATATTATTAATTTCCTCTGTATAAGTATAAGTACCTATGTTGAGCTCATTACAAGGTATCTTAATAGACATGATTTGATTTTCTTCTTCTTCAAATTTAGTTATTCTCACACACTTAGGATTTATGTACAGTTCAGCATCTGTTTGAAATATAACTTTTCCTACATTTGTAATGGCATCATCAGGAACAACATAAATATCAATAGTATATGATGATCCATGAACACTTAATTTGCAAGTAAATACACCTTCTGTGTAGAACTTAACACCTCCTGGTCTTCCTACTAAAGTTTTATCTTTATGAATTGTGACTTGATCCAACTTAGACATAAATGACCTTCGACAGAGATTCACATCACTACCTGTATCAACTAAAGCATTAGTTTCTACACCTTGTATATCAACTAATTTACTTATACGATTAATAGAATATATGACATCATTAAATTGATTCACTTGTACTTTAACATTTTCATCTTTTTGACTTCTATCAGTATTTGGTCGACTAGTTGATGGACGATAAGAACATTGCGATGCTTTGTGACCAAATTCCTGATATAAAAAGCACTTAAATCCTTTACTAGCATTAGGACAAGAACTAAAACGGTGACCCTTTGTATCACAGTTGTAGCAACGATTAATGTTTGCTGATTGACCTTCATGTTTATATGATATAAATGAAGCATTAGATGATTCATTCAATTTTTTTTCTTTGCTGAAATTTATGTTTGACTTTGTATTTGCCCTTATGTTTAATTTCATTTTCTCGTACAATTCAAGTTTCAATTTTAGCTCATCAATGGATGTAGCTCCATACAGTATCATCTTGTTGACTTCCAAGTCTTTTATATCAGCTATGATATAATCAATAAGAGAATCTTCTTCAATATTGCCTAGTTGAGCAATCTGTTTCATTTTGAAAACATACTGCTGATATGATTTATAACTTTTCTTAAATCGCTCAGACAGCGAACAATAAATAGCAGCTGTGTTCATACGACTTATTCATTCTTCTGTTTATCTTTTAAAATTGTTCAAGAAGTAATTCCTCTTTCTGATTGAATATATAATTTAGCTGTTCCCATTAATAAACGTTTACCTTAAATTAACTGCTCAGGATCGGACCAACGTAGTACACTAGTCATTTTTTCAATTTCTTCAATCAATTGACTAACTGGATAAGCATCATCATCGCCAGAAAACTTTGAGAGTGATTTTTCAACATCTCTAAAGCTTAAATGAGATTTGCTATGCTCAAGTCTCAAAGCAAATACTTCCTCTCGAAGTCTAGAAACTCCATCCATAGTTTCATTAGAATTTTTATTCTTAGGTGTCTCAAACTGTTATATATAATTAAAAGGTTTTATAAAATTCAAATTGATATTAGAAATTAATTAATAATGATAAGATCTTGCAAAATACGAACAAAGAAAAATTGGCGCATTTACTTAATTATCAAAAATGGCGTCGCTTACTAATATAATTACAGAAATGATGTTTTAGATATTTTCGTCACTAACAACACTTAAAATATATACCACAAATAGTTTGAAAATTATCCGGATTTTGAGTAGACAAGATATCTTCTCTAATCTGTATTCCCGTTTTTGTTGACCGATGATCCTGGACGGGCTCCCAAAAACATGTGGGAATTACAACAGGCAACCACAGGAACAGAGCAAAGACGCAATACTATTATTTAATACATATATATTTATTCACACACAAAAGCCCTGTTAAATATTTACAAACAAAAATAACATATATAAAACTAAACACACATATGAAAAAAATGCATACAAAAACATGTCTTATCTGACTCACGACTTGATTTAATTTTCCCTTCTTATAATTCTTAATGATACCACCATCTACCTCCAGACATTGGAAGTGATGCCATCTAGATACCAATAGTACCCACATGTATAATATACATATATATATATATTATATATTTTTTTTATTATAAAGTGCTCTTATTTTTAAATGATGAGGTCATTTTACAGTTTTTGGTTTCAAACAAATAAAAAACATTTTTTGAATAAAATTACACTAGATTAAAAAATTAATTAAAATTATTTTAAGTATTATGTATTTTAAAATTGGTTTTTCTATAGATTGTAAATCTCAAAAATTTTCTGTAGCTATTTACTTAAAAGGGGTGGACTGATTTGAGTGTCTGATTTTATTGGTTATCATTGTTATTTAACTTAATGTAACATAATTGTTTTTATTTAATTCTGGTTAATTATATGAAAACTAAACTATGGCTCAAGCCTGAGATCTTTTAATTTTTTTATATAAATTATAAGATTTTGTAAATTGGATTATACTAAGAAATTTTCTCAGTAAAGTGTTATTCTTCTTTATTTTATTATTTGCAGATATCAGATATTTATAACCATTGTCCTTCTTATTAAACTACTTTATTAATATCTATATTTCAGTTCAATTCATTCAATTAATGATTTCTGTATTATTTGAATAGGTCAGAATTGGATAGAAAAAGTACTGACAATCAACGTTGCAATATTTTTGAGCAAAAAAAGGAAATTCTGAAGAGCGTTGAAGTAAAATGCATTGATGAAAAATTAAAAAAAGATTTTCCTAGTTATTCTATTAGATATACTAAAACTGAACCAGTTTTAAAATATAGTTTTAATCCTGCTAGAGTTACTCGTCAACTCATGAATAGGCAACAGATGTTGGACTCATTAGTACCTGAAATTGAAGTTATTGTTCATAAATTTTTATCATCAATAAAACCTAAAAAGTAAGATATTATATTTTTCAAAAACTGTATGTTTTTGTAATTTTTAAATATTGTGTTTATGTTAAGCAAGAATGTGGGTTATGTATTTACTATAATTTGTTTATTCTGAATCATGTTTATTAATATCAGTACATAAGCATTTTCATGTGTGACTTACTAAACAAACAATATCTTATTTTTTTTTTTACTGAATAATAAAATATAAACTTTTCAAATTTAAAAAATTAGTTGTAAAGTAATTGAGAAATAATTAGTTGGTTATGACCATGATCAGAAAATGGATTTTATTTAATTTTTTTATTTTTGAGTGATTAACAAATGAATATAATACAAATTCAAATAGATTGCATAATAGTTTAATTCTTTATTTATTTTAACAAATATTTAGAATTTTAAATTTACAATAAAATTTATTTATAGGATGAAAGACAATTGTACTGATCTGTATTACAATGAAGTAAATGATAAAATTATAACATTAATGAAGAATAAAAATGTGTATCCTTTTAAAGGTTGGTGGCCTAAATTACCATTTATTATTACACAAGTTAAAGAAAATCCAAACATTGAAATTGATAAAGATGAAGAAATAAACAAATTAACATCTAGTAAACGCGCTAAGAAATCGAGATTTAATAATGAGTCATATATAGTTGATTTAAGGCCTACTGTTCCTTCTAAATGGGATAGTGATTATGATGGTAGTCCAATAATTGAAAAATCAATGGAACCTGAAGTTTCTCAATTATGTTCTCAGCCATTAAATACTAATAATGTTTATGACAACAAAAATATAGAACCAAAGTATCTTTGCAATAAAGAAGACATGGATATAGCATCTGATGTAGGTGTTGAAGAATTTACAATTGAAGCTAATACAAAATCTATTTCATCATCTAAACATTTAATACAAGAAATTAATTCTTTAGATAATGAATATGAAGAATTTTTGAAAACTGTAACTATTGAAAATGATAAGAATCAACAAATAAATCAAGATGTAAAACCTGTTGTGCTGCCTATTACACATTGTATACAGTTAGATGATTCAATCCAAAATGAATCTGAAGATAATTTGATTAAGGTTTCAGATGATAATATTACACTAACAAAAGTTAACGTTATTACAGAAAGCCAAATTGATAAAAATTCACATTTAATTGATTTTAAAGATGATTCAAAATCTAGAAAATCTACTCATAAAAAATTAAAAAAAAAAGATAACAAGAAAAAAAAACATGAATCTAGTTCAAGTGATAGTTCTTCAAAAAGTGTATCAGACAGTGATTCAAGTACTTCAGACAGCGAAAGTGACTCTTCAGATTCAAGTTCATCTATGGAAATTAAAAGGAAGGTGAAAAAATCTAAAGAAAAGAAAAAGAAAAAATCAAAAAGTAATAAAAGTAAAGTAAAAGATTTTGCACTTAAGAATAAAATAATGGAAGATGATAACAGTGGTATTTTAAATTTAATTGAAAAAGCTTTTAATGTAGAAATAAAAATGAAAAGTTCAGATGTTGAAGAACTTAAAATGAAAAAAAAGAAAAAAAAATATAATAAAAAAGGAGAAAACCACAATGAAGATTTATTGAAAGTTAAAGAATGTTTAAAAGAGACAATTACAAAATTAGTTAAACCAACAGATACAGTGACTAAAAATGCATCTTCTAAAAATAGTGAAAATGATACTGTCAATGAAGTTTTAAAATTATTAAAAATGAATGAAGCTGTTGGAAATAAAAAGAAAAAATCAAAGAAATCCAAACGTAAACATGATACTGACGAGTCTGAAGAAGATATTTCTCTGAAGAAAACAAAAGTTGATGATATATTTCATGTCGAAGAAGTTGAAAAAATGAAAAAAAAGAAAAAGAAAAAATCAGCTGAGAAGTTTCCAAAAAAAAAATCAAAAAAAAGAGAGAAAACTACTGATGTATCGGATAGTAGTGAAGAGCTTGAAGAGTTAAACAAAAAAAAATCTATAAGTAGTAAAAATGAGCCTGAGCATTTTTTTGGACAGCGACCCAATGAGTGGAATATCAAACAACATTCCATGAGGGGAGTCGTCCATCAATCGGATCACAACAAAGAAATAACAAAAAATAAAGTTTTATATTGTAATGACATAAATAACTTTAAAAAACCATTAGAGTATCAGTTAAATTGTAAAAGTATTGATAAACTTGATCTTTCAAATTTTACTACTGATGAAGAATTAAAAATAAACTTATCAGGTTCAGAAAATTATATAAATACTGAAGAGATTTTAATAAATAAAAAAGATAAAAAAACCAGTTCAAAAAACTTGCCAAAAACGCAAGAGAAGTCTTCTATAAATAACAGTATTTTAGAAATGATTCCTGAAGATAGAAACTTAAATTCTAATAAAATTCAAATTTTATCAAGTATAATAGGTAATGAATTATCTGTAAAAGATGATTCTGAGTTAAAAATAACTACTATAAAGCCACCTCCTGCAAAAGATAATTTATCCCATCGAGATAAAGTTAAATTGAATTTATTAAAGCTTTCCAATGTACAAGATATGTCATTTATGGGATTTGGTTTTCCTACCAATTTTAATTTTACCCAATCAAAGAAATCTGAAAATAAAAAAGGTGTTGAAACTGAAGTTATTGATACTGAAATAAAATTTGTCAAAAGTCTTTTACCTTTGTCTAATAAATCCGACTTTGATACGTATCCAAAGAAATCAGAACAAGATCTAATTACTGCTAAAATTGATAAAGATATTAGTTATTCCTTTCAATCAAGTTCTTCTGAATCAATAAAAGTTTCAGCTGAGAGAAATAAGGATAACACAAAAATAAAAAATAAATGTAATGAGGTACATTTATTAACAACAGAATCTACTATTATAGATGTAACATATCCTCTAATGACTAAACAGAAATATAAATCAATTATTACTACAGATAATATTAGAAACATTGATGAATCTAATATGCCTTGTATTGATTTACCAAAAGTTAATATTGTCAAAAATAAAGAAGGGCTTGATTCAATGGATAATAAGCTAATATATAATGAGGAAAAAACATTTTCTCAACTTCGTGATAATATTGTGTATCCAGTTATGTTTAATTGTACTTTGAAATCTAATACTGTAATTAATCAACAAGAAGTCAATTTAGCTTTAAAAAAATTAGACAGTGTTAATTTAAGTAATTCTTTATTTGATAGCAGCTCAAAGCTAGTAATTAAACATCATGAAGACCCTAGTACAATGAGTGATATTTCAGAATTAGAATTGGAGAGTAATGTAAAAGAACAAATAAAATCACCTGAACATAAAAAAATAAAAAGTAATGATAGCTCTATTCAAATTCCAATTGATAATAAAAAAATAGAGGAAAGAACTTTCTCAAATAAATCTGATAACTTAATTGTTAAAAAGCACCATAATGATAAAGAAAAAAATTCTTTACATTCTATTAATTTAAATAATATTATCATTGATCCCCAAAATAGTAGTGATTTAATTATTACTAGTAGAGTGAAGGAGTGGAATAATTTGGGTACATCAATATTAGATGGAAATGATTCTTCTGAAATTAAATATGATAGTTTTAAGTCTAACAAATATAAAAAAGAATCACATTATAGCTCAAGATTGCAATCTCTTAATGAAAATAAGTTAACATATTCAAAATCAAAATATTCTAAGAATAGTACTTTGATATCAAAATCAGATAATAAGTTTGAAATAGCTACAAATGAAGGTGAAAATTTGCAAAATTCGAGTCAAATTCACACAGATAAGAATATAAATTACTCGACTAATGAAGTAATATCATCAATTGACTGCATTAATGAAGATTCTAGGTATAATTACTCTGAAAGTTGGACAAAAAAACCAGAAAATTACTCAGAAATGTATTCTAACATTCCTGAATATTCTGAATTGAAAACTATCGAGGCTTGTACCCTTAATCCTATTAATTATACTATATATCAAGATTATAATCCTGATTGTTCTTCTTATCATGAAAAAGAATTTGATATTTGGAAACCAGAAGATATTCCACAGTATTCTAATAAATATGCGGACACATCAATTCAAGTAAGTTAATTTACATTATTTCAACGTATATAGGAATAAAAAAAA